CTTGCATAGCCTTGGTGCAGGGAAGAGGGGCTTGGACCTGCCTCAACTGAATGTACCAGGCTCTGCTGACTCCCCATAGGAGACCTTGCCTTGGAGGAGGTGGGAATGGGGGGTGGTTCAGGGGGAATGGCTGGGGGGCAGGAGGAGGGAGGAGAGGGAGATCTGTGGTTGGTGTGTGAAATGAATAGAAAATTTCTTAATAAGAAGAAATAAAATTAAAAGAGCTGGAGACATGCAAAAAAAAAAAAAAGAGCACTGTCTGCTCTGGCAGAGGACCTAAGTTTGGTTCACAGCACCCACACGGCAGCTCACGCCAGTCCCAAGGTATCCAGAGCCTTCTTCTGGCCTCTGTGAGCACCAGGCATGCACATGATACATATGCATGCATTCAAGCAAGACATTCATACACATCAAAAATTTTAAAATAACCTTTTAAAAGCTCCCTCCTTCTACAGCTTCCCAGAAGAGGCTGTCACGTGATTGCTACCCCTGTGACTTCACAGTTGCTCCACATTCCTGATCTCTCTGAGGCCCCTCTCACCCACATGTTCTTCAATCCATGAACTGCGCTCTTGCCTTAACAGTACATGTTTTGGGGTAAATGAACCAGAGGTGACTTTTATTATTCTTTTATTATTCTTAATATTCTAATTTATTCTTTGACAATTTCACACATGTATATAAGGTGTTTTGATCATATTCACCCCCCCTCATCCTCCTTTCTACTTCTACTTCTTGGGACTTCCTCTTCCCAATTGATTTATTTCTTTTAATCAAAGAATTGCATCAGGTGCAGGTAGGTCCCTTTCTAATTTTCTATTCCCAAAGGCAGATGTGGGGAGAATATATAAGAACAAGCATTAAAGATGCCTCAAAGAGAATAATAAGTCATGTCATCACTCAAGAATCTAGTATCTAAAATCATCTCATGAAAATTATTGTTACTATGGCAACCTTTCAATGGGTATTCAGTGACTTTATATTAACATTTTAATGTAAACCTAACTATATTGGTTTATTTGGCTTTGATTCCTTTTTTGAATATAGACTCCACTTATGTGTTCAGCAATCATGAAGCTCCCCTAAACCCTCTCTTTTGGGGTTTCTATGGAGTCTTCACTATTCAGGAATGATTGGTTATGACATCATGGACCACTGGTAATCAGCTCTACACTCAGCTCCTCTTTAGTCTCAGGATTTTGGAGGCAGGTCTTAATTCTCCAGTCACACCATAGTTTTTCTGTTGACCAGCCTTAGCTTCAAGCTATTTAGTATGGTAGGAGGCACTAAGCATTTCTTTGGGCCAAATATCCTTTTTCTTTATTAGTGCAGAGGATTGAACTCTGGGCAGGGCACATGCTCCCATATGCCATATCTCTGAAGAACACTCTCAGCTTCAGTATCCTGTCTAGGGTTTCTATCACTGCAATGAAACCCCACCACCAAAAGAAAGTTGGACTTATTTGACTCACACTTCCACATCACTGTTCATCATCAAAGGAACTCACACAGGGCAGGAACCTAGAGGCAGGAGCGGATGCAGACTCCATGGAGGGGTGCTGCTCACTGGCTTGGGTCCCTATGGCTTGCTCAGCCTGCTTTCTTATAAAACCCTGAATCACTAGCCCAGGGATGGCTCCACCCACCATGGGCTGGGCCCTCCCCTATCAATCACTTATTAAGAAAATGCCTAGAGGCTTGCCTACAACCTTACAGAGGCATTTTTTATAATTGAGGCTCCCTCCTCTCAGATGGACTTTAGCCGTGTCGAACTGACATAAAACACATCCAGCTTCAACCCTTGGAACGTTCCGTGAACACACGCAAGAGATAATGTGTTCCCTCTACTCTGTTGACATGAGGATTTATTTCCTCCCTGTATATCTGAGTACATGAGTGCACACATAGGCACATGCGTACAGGAGTTTATCATATTGTTTAATTCTTGTTTTCTTTTTATTTATGTATTATTATTGCGTGTGCACACACACACACATGCCACAATCTATGTGTAAAGGTGAAGCTACTTGTGAAGCTGGTTCTCTCCTCTACCTTTCCGTGTGCTCCAGGGACAGGCTTGGGTCGCCAGACTGTGCAGCAAGTGCCTTTACCCACGGAGACATTTTAGCAGCTTTTGTTTAATTCTTTTGTGTCCTTTTTTTTTTTCTCCTGAGGAGGTCCCATTTTGATATGTGTTTATGAAGATCTCTTATATTGTTTATCTCACTAGTCAGTAAGAGTTATAATTAAGAAATTGTACAACAATAAATTGAGATGTGAGAGCTAAAGTTACCCCTTTGTCAAGCACCACATGAATCTAAAAAAAAAAATTAAAAGCAGGCAATCAAGTACAGCGAAATGTAGCTTAATACACTGCAGATTAATTACAAGATTACAAGATTTTTTTTCATACACACGCACACAAACGCTCCTCTTTCTGCCGATGTCAAATCAAGTCTTCAAGCCCCAGAACTGACTGTCATGTCATTTACTTCATTACAGCCAGAAAATCATAATTATTTCCCTTGATTCATTTTTAATGTCAGCTTTTGTGTGGTTGAAAATGATTATAATTAGGTAATTCTGTTTAAAAAAAAAAAACACGGGGCTTTCTCTCAAGAAACAAAGCCGTAATTAATATGGAGATGAGAAACTAAAAGGCAATTTGGTAATACATTTTATTAAAACACAAAGTCCTGCTACACAGGACTACAAAGGTAATCACGTTGAGAGTCTGCCTGTATTGTTCCTCGCTGATGGGCTTTTCTTTTCTATTCCATAACTCCTGCCTCACTTTTAAATAAAGGATAGATAATGTGCACAATGCAATTCCGAATGCCTGTGGGGTTAGTCAGACAAAAAGGAGCGAGTCAAAAGAAGAGCTGGCCTGAGCACCCGGCCTTTAGTCACCTTGGTTAAAGCGTCACAGGTTTGTGGGACAGAACAGGTGGAAACCCATAGAAAAGGCCCCAGACATGAGTATGATGGCAATAGAAGGTGTTTGTACTTTATGAAACGTTTCCTTTTCCAAAGGTACAACATGCGTTGGTGTATAGTAGTGAGCGGAGCTGCCTTCCAAAGGGACAGCAAACCCGTTGGAAGGTCCGCCTGATCACATGTCTCCCGCTGCTCTTAAACTCAATTGTTGCCCCCACACTCGTGAGTGAATTCGCCCACCAGGTTATTTCTCCGCTTCAAAGTATAGAGTTTACAGACTGTAGAAACTACTGCTGTGTGTTCATAACTTTAGGAAGGTAAAGGATATTTTCTTTTTCAAAAAAATTCTTGCCGGGCGGGTGGTGGCACACGCCTTTAATCCCAGCACTCGGGAGGCAGAGCCAGGCGGATCTCTGTGAGTTTGAGGCCAGCCTGGGCTACCAAGTGAGTTCCAGGAAAGGCGCAAAGCTACACAGAGAAACCCTGTCTCGAAAAAACCAAAAAAGAAAAAAAAAGGATTCTTTTTTTTTTTTTTTGTCGTTGCTTTTGGGGGTTTTGTTTGTTTTTTAAAGACAGGTTTTCACTCTGTAACCCCGGCTGCCCTGGAACTCACTCTGTAGACCAGGCTGGCCTCGAACTCACAGAGATCCACCTACCTCTGCCTGCAGAGTGCTAGGATTGAAAGCGTGTGAAGCCCAGTGGAAATTCTTCTTTTTTTAATTTTATCTTTTTTCTTATTTTTCTTTTATTGAAAATAGACTTTTTTCATAAAATATATTCTGATTATGATTTTCCCCTACCCCAACTCCACTCAGATCCTCCCAACAAATCCAAATCCACCCCCTTTTTGTCTGTTGTTAGAAAATAGTCACCTAAAGAATAGTAATAAAATAAAATAAGATAAAGCAAAAACAATCAAATTGGAATAGGACAAAACAATTAGAAGAAAAAGAGCCAAAGAAAAATCACAAGAAACAACATAATCCCATAAAAACACAAAATTGAAAGCCATAATATATACACAAAGGAACTATAAGGTAAAAAATAAAAATTAAATTAAATATAATAAATAAATAAATGCCCTAACTAAATATTATGAGAAAAAGATCCTCCAAAATGCTATGGAGTTCATTTTGTGTTGGCCATCTACTGCTGGGCATGGAGCCTGCCATTAAGAGTGGTTTGTATCCCCAGTGAGATTCCATTAGACAAAACTAAATTTTCATTTGTAAGTGCTTATCAATTGGAGATAGCTTCTGGGTTAGGGATGGGGGCTGTCTTAGTCAGTGTTCTATTGCTGTGAAGAGACACCAGGACCACAGAAATTCTTATAAAGGAAAGCATTTAATTGGGGCTGGCTTAGAGTTTCAGAGGTTTAGTCCATTGTCATCAAGGCAGGGAGCATGGTGCTGGAGAAGTAGTTGAGAGTTCTACATCTGAATCCACAGGCAGCAGGGAGAGACAGACTCTGGGCTTGGAATGGGATTTTTGAAATCTCAAAATCCAACCCCAGTGACACACCTACTCTAACAAGATCACATCTCCTAATCCTTTCAAATAGTGCCACTCCCTGGTGACCAAGCATTCAAATATATGAACCTATGGGGGCCATTATTATTCAAACTACAACAGGAGTTTGCTGCTGCACTCTGTGAGCTCGTATGTGCCTTGCTTAGTTGATTCAGAGGGCCTTGTTCACTGGTGTCCTCCACCCCCTCTGACTCTTACAATCTTTCTGCCTCCTCTTCCATGGTACTCCTTGAGCTCTGAGGGGAGGGATTTGATGGAGACCTCCCATTTAGACTTTCTGAGTAATATCTCTGCAACTGTTCCCAACTGTTGCCAGAGGAAGTCTCTCTGACGATGACTGAATAAGGCACTGATCTATGAGTATAGCAGGATATCATGAGTCATCATTTTATTGATACTTTCTTTTCTTAAGATCAGTAGTATTTGGCTTTACCCTAGGTCTCTGGGCTATCTAGTATCTGGTTTGTTTGTTTGTCTGTCTGTCTGTCTGGGTTTTTTTTTTTTTTTTTAAGAAAGAAAAGGAAAAGAATAACTCATTGCCATAAACGTCTTTATTTGGTGACCACATACTGACGGCTTTGCTCTTTTCCTATTATTTTATGTCCATAGTAATCCTACCAGTAAATGGAATTTCCAAGACTTTTGTAGGTGAGACATCCAAGGATCATAGAGTTATACAGCTTGCCCAGAGTCATGCTGTCCCTAAGTGGTAGATCTGGGATTCAAACCCAGTGATTCTTCAGCTTCTAGTGTTGTCTAGCTTGCAGGTGGTTTTGGTTAGCATGAAACTAATGAAAGTCAAGATTGGTTAATAAAACAAAAACAGTGCTGATATTTCACCACAAAGCAGCAGAAAACCCACTAGTAGGCTGGTCACTCGGGAGCTGCTGTGAGGTCCTTGTTGGTGGCCAAGCCCGAGGCAGAAGGGTGAGCAAGGCTGAAGAACAGGTCACAAGCACAGACAGAACCTCGTGGAGCGCCTGCGCCACCTGCTGCATGCAGACCAGCAAGTTGCTCTGCTCTTGCAGGGGAGTCAGCATGCTCTTGTCCTGATGCAGCCAGGCCCAGGTCCCTGCATAAGGTCCAGGGACATAGTTGTTTCTTGCTGGCATCTGAGACAGGGCCCAGAGCTTAGCTGTCTCCACCTCCAGCCATCCAAGCACAGGACTCCCAGTCCTCCTTCAACAGAACCGAGAACCCAAGTTGTGTCTGGCCCCATGGTTTCCTCCACATGCTCAGGAGGCCCAGCCGACAGCAAAGGGAAGCAGGCAGAACAGGAGCTCCAGAAGGGCAGGATCTACTCCTAGTCTAGGGCCTTCCTGTTCCTTCTGGGCACGTCTCTGGCCACGAGCACCCCTCTGCTCCTTGCCCTGAAAAAAGAGAGGACGTCAAAACTCCCAGGGCCAGGCCTCTCGTGCCAGGCACTTTCGATATGCTGTTGCGTCACTTCTAGAGGTTTTAACCCCAAGGTTCAAAAAAGCCCGCTGCAGCAGGAAGAATATCCCAAGAGCCGTGGCTGGACTCCTCTCCTACGCCTCCTGCTCAGGGAGAGCAGAGATCTTGACAGAGCGAGTTGGGCTTTAGCTATCCTTTGTCCTTTGTTAATATTGCTAAAACTGAACCTCCCTCTTCCGTGAAGATGCAGCGGGGTGGCACGAGGGCTGCTTTGAAGGGGACCATGGGAAGCCAGGCCCAGACAGCATGAGTCACCCCCTTCAGCTCAGCACTTGGTGGCCCTCAACTGGCCTTCTAACATGTGCCCAGGGACATTCAAGGCGCAGTCACCGCTTTAAATGAAATGCTCTGTGGGGCTACAGGAGGCCCCTTGACAGGCGAGGCTTCACTCGTGCTAGACAAGTATTCTACCAGTGAGCTACAGCCCCAGACCAAGCATTCTGCATTCTGATTGGTACATCCTCCGCCTCCTACCCCAACTTGTGACGTAACTACCTACTTGTGAATTCAAGCAAAGAGAGGCCGTTTGGCCTTACTGCCAGGATTGATGACTGGCACAAAAGGAACCCCAGTACTGTGGCTTTGGAACCTCCAAAGTCCAGACTCCTGCCAAGTCCAGTAGAAGTCTCATCCTGAAGAGACCAGTTTCTATTTTTCTAATATGGTGTCTTAGAAATTTGTCTGCAACAATACTATAATTGAGCATCCAGAACATGAAGAGGAAATCCAGCCACAGGGCGGCCAGCACAAGGGTATGTGCTAGTCCCTGGTACAGACTGGCCTGACTGAGGGTGATCTGCTAGAGGTTCCTGGGTTTTAAGCACTTGTGGTAAGGATGTCCTTATAATGAGTAGAATTTCCCTCTGTCCCTTGTCACAAGTTTAAAAACCTCACAGCTTGTATAAAGCAACCATTTGGGTCCGCTTTTATCTTGGACTAGTGTAACTCCTTCATGCAATAAACTGAAAAGAGCCTAAATAAATAATAAATAACCATCACACATGGGATTAATTTTTGTCCCCAGCTCCCCATCCTCCCACCCCATTCCCAGGGCTCACCAGAATGCATGGACAATCTCCTGCTGTGGAGGCCATCTCCCTTCAGGATTGGGTCCTCACCTCTTTCTATAAATGCCGACACTGTTCTGTCAATCCTCCTACCATCTTCAACTGAAAAAGAAATTGCCTACAGAACGCTGTGTTTAGCAGGCCACCCTGGCTCCTGCGAACTGGAGATTCAAATCAATGAAAAGTTTGCTGGAGATTTTTGGTTGCTCTGGAGAGTGCCTCTGGGCAGATTGCACGTGGTGACATGTTCTTTCCAAACTGTGATAATTCAATCTTCTGCAAAGGTCTGACTCTTCATGCTCAGCATCCACAGTAGCTGTTCTTGCTCATGTCAAAGTGGGCTTGGGGTTAATATACAAAATGAATGCACAGTTCTTTGAACAATGCTCCCCCTCTCCTGGCAGGCAGGCAGGGGTGGGGGGCTCTGCTGAGTGACTGTGCTGCTCAGCTTTGGGCTACCAGAGGAAATACTGAGAGGTCAAGCTTGTTTTCGCTCACTGTTTCAGAGATGTAGTGCATGGTGGCTTGGCCCTGTTGCCTGGGAGGCAGTAGCATTTAGTACATCAAAGTCCTGGGAAGCAAGAAGAAACAGGAAGGGACCAAAGTCCCAGTGTCCCCCTCGAGAATATTCCCCCAATGAACAGACTCCCCTACATAAGGCCCCATTGGCCATTGGCCTACATAATGCCATTATGTAAGGAACAAGCCTTTGACACATGGGTTGAGGTGGGTATCCAAATCAAAGCAATTACCTTAGAGGTAAAAAATCATTTGACAGCTGGGCGGCAGTAGCACACGCCTTTAATCCCAACACTCAGGAGGCAGAGCCAGATGGATCTCTGTGAGTTTAAAGCCAGCCTGGTCTACAGAGCGAGCTCCAGAACAGCCACCAAAACTACACAGAGAAACCGTCTCGAAAAACCAAAAAATAAATCATTTGACAAAGCCAGCCCAGAGACAACAGGGGCTTCTGTAACCCCAAACTACTGACAGTTGTCAATGGAGGGAAAAGCAGCATGGAAGGATAGCAGTCTCACATTTTAGCTCCCTAATGTGCATGCCTGTCTGCTAGCAACAGTGTTCTTTTCCCTAGAAAGTCTCGTCTTTAATGGTAGACTCTTGTTATGAGGTGAGGGATCATTGGGAAAGGAGGAGACATTTTATATAAGAACTTCCCCCTGAGAAAACCTGGTAGAGTGCTTACCTGATGGGGACAAAGTCTGAGGTTAGATTTCCAGCTCTATATAGACTTGCCATGGTGGCTCACACGTGTAATCCCAGCACTCAGGAGGTGGAGGCAAAAGGATCAGAAGTCAGGGGTTGGGTTACACTGGGTATTCAGGGTCAGTCTGGGTTATATGAGACCCTATCTCAAAAAACAAGATCCTTTAACTGTGGCCTCCAGAAACAAGGTCCCTCAAAAGCATCTATCCCAAAGGGACTTAATATTCATGAATTTTGAAAGAATCCTCCACTGGATGCCTCTTAGCACATAAACTTCCCCACAGATTTATGAGGGCTCCTCCACTTTGAGAATAGGGGTGGGGGGGTATACACGCGTGATCTGTTGAAGAGACGGCATCCAGCTCTGAGTCATTAGAAGCCACCAGAGGGCGTGTGCACCATCCTTCCCTGACAGGGCAGCCTCATGACCCACGTGCCGGAAAGCTTCTGAATCTACAGTAAGTGTCGTCCCTACTAAAAACCTAAGTCAGAATACACATGTGCACACACACACACACACAGACACCTTGGGACACACAGCCCTAAATGGGACGTTCCCATCAAACTCCTCCCCTCAGAGCTCAGGGAACCCCACAGAAGAGGAGGCAGAAAGACTGTAAGAGCCAGAGGGTATAGAGGACATCGGGAGAACAAGGCCCTCTAAGTCAGCTGAGCAAAGCTCACATGAACTCACAGAGACTGCAGCAGCAAGCACAGGGCCTACATGGGTCTACACCAGGTCCTCTTCGTATACATTATACTTTCAGTTTAGTCTTTTTGTGGGACTCCTGAGATTGTAATCAAGAGTCTCTGACTCTTGTGCCCTCTCTTGGGCTCTCTTCCTTCTGTTAGTTTGCCTTGTCCAACGTCGTCAATGTGATAGTTCCTGTTTTATCTTGTATTTTGTCATGCTTTGTTCTTTCTTAGAAGCCTATTCTTTTCTAATGAGAGACAGAAAGGGAGTGGATCCGGATGGGAGGAGCAGTGGGGAGGAACTGGGAGGAGTAGAGGGAGGGGAAAGTGTAACCCAGGATATACTGTATGAGAAAAGAATCTATTGTCAATAAAGGGGGAGAACCTAAGTCAGGAGAGGTCTGACTTCCATCACACACCCCCTGAGGCACCAGCTCCAAAATGAGACTCAACTGTCTTATGTAAACAGACCAATTACTCCCAAGGATGAGAGACTGCTGTAACTATCCATCAGTTCTGATGATTGTTTCTGGGTTTTGTTTTACGCGTATCTATTATTAAGAAGTGCATTGCCACAGTGCACACAGAGGTCAGAGACAGCTGGCGGGAGTCCGTTCTCTCCTTCCACTAGATGGGCTCCAGAGATCCAGTGCAGGTTGTCAGGCCCACAAAGCTTGAAGGGAAGACCCTATGGCTGAAGATAACACACTCCTGGGACACAGGAACTGGGAGGATCAAACTGGGTCTGACCTGGAAGCCTCCTCCCTGACGACTCGCTTTCGCAGTATCAGAAGGTGCTACGCAAGCTTCCGGGAGAGAAAAGCCATCAGGAGTCCTACCCAGCTGTGCAGGACAAACCACAACAACGGCATCTCCAATGGTGCAATAGTGGCATTATTATCTGGGGGGTAACCAGGCGATGTCTCACTAGACTTAAGGCCGACTCAATAGGAGGGAGTTCCTATCTGGTACTGTACATAATAAATAAGCCAAACTACCAATGGCTAGAGAACAACTTACCACTGCCACGTTCCTTAACCAATACAGTTTCTTACTGCATTTTAAATAAGTATCCCACAGGTAAGTTAGATCTCATCCACTCATCAAAGAAGCTTCTTTTTACAGTAGACAGAGGCAACTATAGAGAGCCACAGCCGGTCAAAATGCAGAGAGTAAGTGGATGGAGGGTGGCGAGCCCCAACTAGTTCATCTGCACTGCGATGCACATCCTACACCGAAGACTCAGGCAACATCTCAGGACAGAGGGGAGATGGTAAGAGTCAGAGGACCAGGGGCCTGTTCTGAGATCGTGTCGTCTAAACATGACAGGGATGAGCAGCCTTGAAATCCCAATAAAATGGTGGCCTAAACAAGACCTGCATAATGACAACACTATCCCAACCAGGATGGGGGAAATTTCACAAGGCCCCACCCCTAGATGAAGAACTACAAGCCATCATGACTGTTGACAGAGGGGAGTCAGTCTTCTTCAGCAGAAAGTCCCTTGTTAGGTCATCTGCTTCAATGTGGTCAGTCCTAAACACATGTACATAACACTAAATGAGCTCAGTGTGTGTGTGTGTGTGTGTGTGTGTGTGTGTGTGTGTGTGTGTGTGTCAATATTAATTATAGAAGAAGAGGTCATGAACTTGAGAGGGTGTGGGGAGGACACAAGAGGAGTTGGATGAGGAGAGAGATGTGGAAATATGTAAACAGAGTACCCTTGTTTAAAAAATATTTACATTGAAAAATATGAAACCTCCAATATAGACTTATTGTATATGTGGTTATTAACACATTTCAGGAATAAAACAAGGCCCTTTTTACTAGTTTCAAAAAGAAGCAAAAACAAACAAGAGTCTCACAGGGTGGCCTCTAGGAAATGCAGACCCAACCCTTCACTGTCCCCGTGCAGCACACCTTGCTTTGAAAGAACTTCCTCTAACGTGCCCATCAGCAGTTAAGTCTCCATTTAAAAAAAACACCCACTTTTCAAGAACACACCCTGGAGAAATGTCTGCTCACTACTCCCAGGTCTCCCTGTGAGGGAAGCAGGAGTCACCAACTTGTGGGAGCTGGTTAAGGACATTGCCACTCTTTCAGAGTTCCAGAGGTGAGTTCCCAGCCAGGAGACCCACGTCTGTCTGTAGCTCCAGTTCCAGGGGGATTTGACGCCCTCTGCTGGTCCCTGTGGGTACCTGCACACAGGTGCATATACACAAACAGGGACATGCACACACACATAAATAAAAATAAATTTGAAACAAGATCAAGCCCATCAACATTCTAGCTAGGAATAAGGAGTTCATGGGCCCCCACCCCCAACTGAAGAACTATAGATAGTTGATGGCTTCTGGGGGAAGGAGAGTCAGTTTTCTCTAAGGGAGGTGGCTCACTCTCCAATGGATGGCCTCCTACCCACAAGAATACAGACAGCACCAACAAGATCCCATGGGCTATTTAGTAAAATAACAAATAACATGGGGACACAGGGAGAGTGGATCCAGACGCTGTTGGGGAAGGAGTGAATATGATCATGTTACATCATATGGTTGGGTAGTGGTGCATGCCTTTAATCTCAGCACTCTGTGAGTTCGAGGCCAGCCTGGTCTAGAGAGTGAGTTCCAGGTCAGCCAGGGAGGTTACACACAGAAACCCTGTCTCAAAACCAAAAAAAAAAGAATTAATAAAAGGGAAGGGGACAGCCTGTAGTCCCAGCCCTGGGAGAGTGGGGACAGCTATGACAGGAGGATCAGGAGTTAAAGATAATCCTCTGCTACACGGTGAGTTCCAGGCCAGTCTGAACTACATGAGACCCTGCGTTAAAAAAAGGGGGGGGGGGGCAACAAAAGAAAAACCGTTATAGGAGGTAAACATGACCAAAGTACATCACATCCACGTATGGAAGTGTGCAATTTACTATTACTTTGTGCAATTTACGTATGCTGATAAAAGAATTAAGATATGTATGTATTTTACTTAAGTGTTGACTCTGAAACAGGAGACTTACATAATACCTTCCCCAAACCCTTAGGCTAATAGAGGATTAAGAATTCTCTGTTCACATGCTGCCACCTGGTGACCAAAGTGAGAAGAAAGTCTGAACTGCTGGGGGGGGCAGGGCTTTATCCCCTGGTTAGCTGATGATCTGAAACATGAGGTGGAGAAAACAGTCTTTACAGGCCCCGGGTTCCTAGCTATGAGATACTCTGCCTGTAAAGGATGGCAAGGAGGCTTGTCGGGTGACCAAACTGGCTGACCAGACAGCAAACTTGCTGGTTGTGTTCCAGTGTGAAAGAAAGTCTCTTGACTGTTGGTTTGCAAAGCACATGACAGCTTTGTTCACTCAACAAAATCTTACTGGTGTCCTATTACTTCCAGGGAGTCCGAATTCCATTGTGAAGGTAATAAAGGACCCCACGGGAAACAGGGTCCCTACCCTGTAAGGTCATGTGGTTGTGCCTCACATGGGCCTGGGAATCAGAGGGACCTGGGTTAAAGGTGTCTACGTGCAGCAGGCTTATTCTCATCCACATAAAGAAGATGCATATACTGTCAACTTGTCAGGTCAAGTTCAGACAGGTTTACATACTGGGGCCTCTCTAAATCTTGAGTCTCTTCTCCCCCTGGCCAGCCAGAATCAGCTGCATTTGAGAATCTTGACCTCCTATACACCTGCGTCCTTGAATGCAAGTTCCCAGCTGCCATAAGCGAGTGTGTCTGTGGTGTGGAAATGCTGTCAGTAGCAGGTAGGAATCCAGCTGATCTACTGGCTCTTCAGACAGCCCCAGGAGCCCCTCCTCTGCCCTGGCCTCCACCTCTTACCTGCAGGGTTCAACCACAGAAAGGTTAGTTGACTGGTGGCCCACATATGGAGGTGTCTCCTGGCCTGCAACCAGTATTCTGAGGATACTTCCTAGTCAGGCATGGTAGCACATGCCTGCTGTGGGATGTTCTGTATGGCAAATGTGTTGTTGATTAGTCAATAAATAAAACACTGATTGGCCATTGGCTAGGCAGGAAGTGTAGGCGGGACAAGGAGGAGAATAAAGCTGGGAAGTGGAAGGCTAAGTCTATATAATGAGTTCCAAGATAGCTAGGGCTACATCCAGAGTTCAGAAAGTCTTTTCCCCCCTAGTGATAACAGCCCATTTGGGAGAGGAGGGCTAGGAGATGAATATACCTCAATACTTTGTGTCCTTTTTCTGGTTCCTCCAAGTCATTATTTACATTTTTTCCTTTAAGGGATCTAATGTTTAAGATATTGATTATGTATGAATGTGCGTGTGTATTCGGATTTGTGCACTTGGGTGCAGCGCCCATGGGAGTCAGAAGAGGGTGTCAGATCCTGAGGTGGGTGATGGGAACAAAACTCAGGTCCTCTAGAAGAGCAACACACACTTAACCATTAAGTCATCTCTCCAACCCTAAAAAAGTCCCTTGGGGCAGAATGAAGAATGCAGGCATGGTCGCCTCGTTCTTCGAATGTCCCTCATTACAGCTGACGTTCCTACAGGGTCTGATACATCCACTCCTTGCAGTTTCTAATCAAATATTCATTTTAATATTGATGTGCTAAACTACATGGCATTAGGTAGAAATTAAATGAACTAACTGTCCTTTGCAACATTTGTTTTTCCAAGGCACACTGCAGGAACTATCTCACGTTTGCTGTATGTTCTATAACTCTCAAGAGCAGCGGCTGAGGCCGCAGAAGCAGCTCTGCCTGAAGCGGACAGTACTCACTGCCCCGGCTGTCCTCGGCACAGACTGTACTGTTAACCTGGGCCAAACATTACCACGTCCTCTGCCCTGGCACAGTCACATGCACCTCATCTCTCTGTGCAGATGACCGCCACCCATTTTCACCCAGACACTCAGCCCGGTACAGTGGACCGGAAGCCTCCTCACAGAGGGAGCAGACTAAAGTCAGAGAACTAGACCCCTCAGACCCTCAGGCACCCTGATGAAAAGACACTACACGGTCTGGAGGGGCAGGGGGGGGACAAAATGCATGACCACCGCTCTGCTTCCGCAGCCTGCATTCGAGTCTCAGGCTGGCCTTCCCCCCCACTAGTCAGGCCTGACATGGTCCTGGCAGGGTGACCAGGCAGGACGTCCCAGCTTCCATCACCAGAGAATACACCCACACAAACCCAAACTCCCCATCCTGAACTACCAGTCCCTGTGTGTGGCCGCTCAAGAACAAATAAGCTCTGTTTTGAGAAGCTGCATGCTTTAGTTCAGGACTGCACGGGCACAGGCACTGCGGACACACGCCGGCCCTGCACCCGGTCGCCGGGACGGTCACCCGCCCCCGTGCTTCCTGAGGTGCTCCTTCAGCTGTGGCATGGAGGGCAGCAGCAGCTGACACTCGTGGCAACGAAGAGGCAGCTTCAGGAGTTCAGAAGTCCCATCTTGAACAGTCACTCGGCCAGTGTCCTCGACCATCTTGATCACAGCTGCAAGCAGGAAGTAAGGTTCAGACCCCAGCACTCTGGACAGCCAAGAAGATGCCAAGGAAAAGGCTGGAAACCTGCCTCCCTCAACACCTCTGGTGTCCTAAAGCTCATGAGCTTGGAGTTAGACTCACACTGGGAAATGCACTTGACCAGATTCTACGTCTGAGCAACCTACCTTTGAGACATACACTCCTTCAGGACACACTCCACTACCACATCATGGGCTTCTCACCATGCTCTCCCCAGGTGCCTCTTTGCTAAATGGCAGCTGCCTCATTAGCGATGCAGCAGTACTGGCTACAGAGAAAATATTCTGGGAAATGCTTACACCCCACATACACAGTATCCACGAAGCAGTGCTAACAGGACAGAGCCCCACACTCCTGCTCAACTCCTGCCAGAAGAGACAAGGAACAGTTGAGACATGAAGTGTCCCCTCTAAAGCCTCAGGCTGCACGTGTGGCCCCAGCAGTCGGTGCTTCTTGGTGAGATGGTAGAAACTTTAGGGGGTGGGACCTCGCTGGAGAAAATAGGTCACTGGGGACATCCTTGAGGCTGTGTTTTGTTCCAAGTACCTTCCCTAAGCCCCTCTTTCCTCTTTCTCTCAATCCCTGGCTACCACTAAGTGAGCAGCTCCGCTCCTCCTGGCCCTCCCTGCCAGTGTTCTACCTCACCATAGCAACAGAGCCGCAGATGAGTCCTCTGCGACTCTGAACCTAAGCACAGCTTTCATTTCTCAGGTTACATCCGGTGTTCTGTCACTGCAACAAACAGCGAGGCCGGGCTGGCACAGGCCCAGTAACCCTCAGATTCAGAACCTGCTCACACACGTCTTCCCAGCCAAGAGTCCAACCCAGCTTACTAGCTCCAGAACACTGGCATACTGGGTAGACATTAACTCCTCTGCTGTCAAAGTGAAGCACTTTTGACCCCGACATAACAGCTGATTGGGTCCCTCCAGGATGCTCACAGCCAAGTAGCAATCCTATTTCAATGAAACATCCTTGTTCGTTTTAGGAGTGCATGTTTTATAGAGACCACTAATGTATGTGGGTCATTTGAGGCCAGGTTGTTACTTAGAAAACAACTGAGTCAGGTAATAAATGAAGAAAATGAAATTAAATTTAAAAAAAAATAAAATACTATTTACCTTGTGAGTCCAGAAAGTATTCTGTATTGAAAGAATTCCAATGTTTTTTGTTTTTAAGGCAAGGAGAATCAAAATCCTGGCTGATCACATGAAGGTGTACATGGCTAGTTGAAAGTTGAAAAACAAAAAAGAACTGAGTATTAAAAACTATGGTTTAATCAAAGTGACACCAGTCTAAGTAAGTACAGGTACATAAAGTTCTGACGCTGTATTCATTTACTGCAATATACCCATTCATTTAGTTGAGAATAGTTAATGTGCTTGGGAGATAACATAGGGAGTGAAGTGCTGACCACGTGTGCTGGACAGTTTCATGTCAACTTGACACAAGCTAAAGTCATCTGAGAAGAGGAACCCTCAATTAAGAAGATGCCTCCAGCCAGGTGGTGATGGCATACGCCTTTAATCTCAACAGTAAGAAGGCAAAGGCTGGTACAATCTATATGAGTTTGAGGCCAGCCTGGTCTACAGAGTGAGTTCCAGGGCAGCCAGGGCTACACAGAGAAACCTTGTCTTGAAAAACAAAAGCAGAAAGAAAAGAAAATGCCTCCTTAAGATCAGGCTGGATGAAAGCCTATGGAGCATTTCCTTAATTAGTGATTGATGGGGAGGGGCCCAGCCCACAGTGGGTTGTCCCATTCCTGAGCTGGTGGACCTGAGTTCTATAAGAGGGCAGGCTGAGCAAGCCTCGAGGAGCAAGCCAGTAAGCAGCACCCCTCCATGACCTCTGCATCAGCTCCTGCTTCCAGGTTCCTGCCCAGTTTGAATTCCTGTCCTGATTTCCTTTGATCAAGAACAGCAATATGGGCCGGGCGGTGGTGGCGCACGCCTTTAATCCCAGCACTCGGGAGGCAGAGGCAGGAGGATCTTTGTGAGTTCAAGGCCAGCCTGGTCTACAAAGCGAGATCCAGGAAAGGCGCAAAGCTACACAGAGAAACCCTGTCTCGAAAAACAACAAAAAAAAAAAAGAACAGCAACATGGTAATGTAAGTCAAATAAACTCTTTCCTCCTCAAGTTCCTAGGTCATGGTGCTTCATCATAGCAACAGTCACCCTAACTGAGACACTGTGCAAGCACAAGGGCCTAATCTAATCCTCAGCACTCAGGAGAAGAAGCCAGGCACAGCAACACACACTCTCCTAGCACCGAGGAGGCGGAGCTTGCCGGCCAACCAGTCTAGTCAAATTAGCAAGCTCCAGGTTCAGTGAGTGCCCCTGTCTCAAGACGTGAGGTGAAGGCCAGGGATGGTGGTACATGCCTTTAATCTCAGTACTCTGAAGGAAAAGACAGAAGGATCTCTGTGAGTTCGAGAGAAGCCTGGTTAACAATTCCAGGCCAGCCAGAGCTACACAGTAAGGCCCTGTCACAAATAAAAATAAATAAATAAATAAGCAAGCAGCAATTGGTCTCGTGTGTGTTTGTGTGTGTGTTTGTGTGTGTGTGTGTGTGTGTGTGTGTGTGTGTGTGTGTGTGTGTGTTCAAACCAAGAACTGGGAATTTAGTAGTGAATAATATAGGAAAGGACTGCATTGAGAATAATTACATTCTAATGAAGAAAGACAAATAAGCAACAAAAATCCAAAGCACTAAAGGAAAACGAAGAAGGTGCCATGCATGCTGGCACCTGCCTTAGACCCCAGCACTTGGGAAGCTGAAGTGGGAGGATTCTGAATTGAAGGCCAGCCTGGGCTACACACTGAAAACCCGCTCAAAAAGGGATAACTAGTTGGGAAGAGAAAAGGGATCAGTGGAAGTAGGAGGGGGGCAAGAATAATAGGATATGATCAATAAACATTATACACATATATGAAAATGTCATAAAACCTATTACATATAATTAATATACACTAATAAAGAACAAAAGAAGAAATTGAAAGGAGGAAGAAAGGAAAGGGGAAAAGAAAAAAGAGAAGCGGGCTAGTGACTAGTTGAGAGCTAGTTAACAGTGCCCAGAGAAGGCAGAGGCAACTGTGTCTCCAAGTGTAGAGACCAAGTTCAAAATCCGGGGGCAAGAAGCAGCTCGGTGCAAACATGGACCCCAAAGACGGTGATATGGCCACAGTGTATGCCAGAAATACTAGAGTCAAGGAGCAGGGGATCAGCAGGGGTTCAGCAGGGCCAGATCATAATGGGCCTAAAAGCCTCTAAGAGCACTGTGATAAATTTATCCTGGCTACATTAGGGGCTGCTGGAAGAGCTTCAGCAGAAGACACTGTCCCACTTTACCTTTATCAGAGCGCTATGGCTGTTGGGATAAAGGGATGGAGGGCAGGTCAGGCAGAACATGGGGAGATCTGCTACAAAGAACTGCAACAGTCAAGAGCAAAAACCAGCACAGCTGACACCAGAGCCGAGCTGCAGCAGATGACAAGAAACAGCCCGACTCTGGTCATATTTCGGAACAAATCCCACAAGATTACTAACTTATGGGTGCAGTTTGGGGCAGTGGCACTTGCTGAGATGGAGAAAGGGACAGGGAAAAGAACCCGGGTTCAACCAGTAGTTGTTTAGGCTGAGTTGATAGCTCTGTTGATAATGTGCTTCCTCTGCAAGCATGAGAATCTGAGGTTTGGTTCCTAGAACCTTTAATCCCAGCACTCGGGAGGCAGAACCAGGTGGATCTCTGTGAGTTCGAGGCCAGCCTGGACTACCAAGTGAGTTCCAGGAAAGGCGCAAAGCTACACAGAGAAACCCTGTCTCGAAGGGAAAAAAAAAAAAAAGTCAGTCACGGTGTCATGTACTTGAAGTCCCATACTAGGGAGGTGGAGACAGGTGGATTCCTGGGGTTAGCTGGCCAGCCTAGCCTATTCAGCAAGTCCCAGGTCAGTGAGAGTCCCTGTTTCAAAAAACAAGATGGATGCACCTGAGGAGGAAAGACACTTGAGGTTGACTTCTGACCTCCACATGCACTCATGCATACATGCACACAAACACATAGTTTTACTTTGTTAAACTAAGTAGAATGACTTTTTGTATAATTTTCATTTTTGGAATTAGTAGTATTTCATTTTGAATCATTAATAATCAAAAGCTACCAGTATGTGTACAGAATCAAATGGTATATAAGCAGCAACAAATAAACAAATGAATAAAAATGAAGAAAGGAACCCCATCGAAGAGGGTGAGAAAGAACTAACTTTGGAAAACAGTATTTTGGCTAGATATTATAACACTAAAGGGGGGGCTTTTCACAAACACTGTACTACAGTAGTAGATGTCTTTGCACAGGAGATGGATTAATAATTTTATAACTGTATTAGACATACGCTAGGACTGAGCACGTAAGTGAACTCATTATAATGAATGACAACCATCCTCTCACTGGAAGAGAAAGAAGACACAAAAAAGGAAACAGGAAAACAAGATGTGAGCTGCCTGTGGAGATGACTAGAAGGAGTGGTACCAGCATGACCCAGAAGCTAAGGGTCAAGTCTGGGAGGAGGACCAGCAGGAATTACATATGTGAATGCAGAGTCAGAGGTGGGGAGAGGGCCAAGGATTTGTGTGTTATTTCCTGCTCTACCCGCTGAGAGGATGTAGAAGCAAAGACACCCTAAAGTCAACCACTTCTCTCATAGAAACCTAGTATCTAGGCCTCTCTGGATGATGAGCCTGTGGTACCGTGTAGGAACAGAAAGTAAAGTAAACCTTAAAAACTGTAAGGGGCATGGAGTGAGAAAGCCAACCTAAAGTGATCAAAGATGAAACAATTTAAGGCTCAAGAAATAAATAAATAAATATAAAGTACTGAATTAGAATCGACAGAACACCCATGAGCCTATACTTGAAACAAGGGAGGCAGAGCTTCCACACACAACAGTGCAATCATTAGATGGAGAAGCAGAAAACCATCCCTGGGAAAAGAGCACAGTGATCGCATTGCAGGCAAGTGCCAGCAATAGAGCGTGGTGCGGTGCATCAAATTAGTGATCCCAGCACTAGGGAAACTGAGGCAGGATGACAACTCTGAGTTCAAGGTCAGCCTGAGCAAAACAAAGTTCCATGGATACAGAGTGAAGCATGTCTCAAGCAAATCAATGAAAAATAAAAGTAAAATAAAACCTACCAATAGATAATAAAAAGATGGGTCTAAGTTTGAGCAACGGGACAGTAATAGTCTTAAAATATTTCCCCAAAATAGTCATCAGTTAAAAAGGAAAACCAGTAACTCTGAGTAAAGAACCTTGGCAGACCACACTTCAACAAATGACCAAGATTAACACACAGGTCACAAGTCACCTCAACACCACGCACCTCTGACATGATGAGAACACCACAGATAGCATGATACACCCAAACTGAAAGAGATCTCCCTGCCAGGCGTGAGCCTCACACCTAAGGCCATCACTCAGGAGACAGAAGCAAAAGGATTATGAATTGAAGACGAGCCTGGCCATGTGGGGAGTTCAGGGCCAGCCTGGACCTCAAAAAAAAAAAAAAAAAAAAAAAAAAAAAAAAAAAACATAGACAAGACAGAAGTCCTACAGACAGCCTGTACCCATCAAAGGTATCAAGAGCAGGACCTCAGACTGGAGGCTAAGGACAGACAAAAAAGTAAATGTTACATGAATCCTGAAGCAGAAAAAGAACCTTCTAGCAAAAACAGGTGAAATTCAAACAAGTATAGCATTTAGTCAGCAGGTCTTTGCTCTACTTCACATTTTACATTTTTGTATTTTCTAAATTAAAAATATTGCTTTATAGTAGGAAAATTACACTTTCCTTTGTTGTTTGGTTGTTTGTTTTTTAGAAAGTGTCTCACTCTCACATTTTCCTTTCTATTACATTTATTTATTTAAAAATCCCATCACTGGGCTAGAGATGTCACTCAGGTGAAACAGTGTTTATCTGGCCTGCACAAAGTACTGTTTGGTCCCCAACATTGCATAAAGCAGACATAATGGCATATGCCTATAACCCCAGCATTTGGAGACAGAGGCAGGAGGGTCAGAAACACATGGCCAGCCTTGGCTACCTGGAGTCCTATCTCCAAATAAGTAAATAAACAAAAATAAAAATAGAGGAATGAAAGCTTGCCTAATGAACTATGCTAAGGGGCTGCAGAGCAGCAGTTAAGAGCTCTGACTGTTCCTCCAGAGGGCCCAGGTACAATGCTCAGCACCAACACAGCAGTTAACAACCAACCTTAACTCCAGTTCCTAGGGATCCCATGTCCTCTGCTGGCCTCCATGGGCATCAGGCACACATGTGGTACATGGATATACATACAGGCAAAACAGCCATACACATAAAATAAAAATAAATAAATCTCAAAAAAAAATTTAAATGGTTACCCAGGTACAGTAGTGAACACTGTAGCCCCAGCCTGGGAAGCTGATGTGAGAAGAGTTCAAAATAGCTGGGCACTGGTGGCACACGCCTTTAATCCCAGCACTTGAGAGGCAGAAGCAGGTGAATCTCTGAGTTCGAGGCCAGCCTGGTCTACAGAGTGAGATCCAGGACAGCCAAGGCTAAACAGAGAAACCCTATCTCGAAAAAACAAAACAAAGCCGGGCAGTGGTGGTGCACGCCTTTAATCCCAGCACTCAGGAGGCAGAGCCAGGCGGATCTCTGTGAGTTCGAGGCCAGCCTGGCCTCCAAAGTGAGTTCCAGGAAAGGAGCAAAGCTACACAGAGAAACCCTGTCTCGAAAAACCAAAAAAAAAAACTGTCTCAAAATATTAAACAAAATAAACACTTTTAAAATGCAAATTTTATGTTGTTTATTTTAGTGCAGCTTTTAAGGGGGACTGAGGGTATATCCCAGAGGTACAGTCCATGCATCATTATCCTATCGCTCAGACCAAATAAGCTGAAGGAATTTGTCCTGCACACACTCTGTGAGGAAAAACAATCATTCTGCCCCAAATCCTTCTGCAAATAAGCCAACAAAGAGCAAACATCACACCTTCCCTTCACTTTATTTGAAACTGTACACACCCTAAGCTTATATTTGCAGATGTGTATGATGTTTTGTTTCCTCTAGAGCAATGGTCCTTAGTCATTTAAGAGTTATAGGTAACTCCGAGAATTTTAACAAGCCACTGACAATAAGTCCTCATCTACTGGTAATGAAGCTACTTCATCTAGCCTGCGTGTTAAAAAGCTTACATTCTGAGAGAAATCAACAATGTCAAGGAACTGAATTACAGGCAGGCAGAAGCAGGAACTTGGGCTGCTCATAGGCAAGTCAGGCAGGTGCAAGATTCGGCCCACCTGCTCAGAAACATCCCACCTCCCCTGGGCCTGGAAACTACCGGACTCACAAATCCACACTGATCACCTGGACCAAACCAAAGGGCACCACCTCACCCCAAGGCTTACCTCATACTGGGAATAGCATGGTAACCCAAGCGGAATCTCAGTTTGCTGGATCCAGCAAAATCCGAAATCACCTTTTCCCCTACAGTGTGCATATGTTTGAGAAGGTCAAGGTGTTCACTGGTCACAACCTTCAGACTGGAAATGGAGGCCCATGGTAAGACCAGCCAATGGTGACGGGCCTTGGGATATTTATCCTTAATCACCACCACCAGCTCATCTTTGTAAACCTAGCAGGGAGCACACAGGAAGGAAAGAGACGTCAGTGAGGATCTTTGTACATGCGCTGTCACACTCATTCGGTCACTTACTTACAAAACCTTGTGCAAAAACTTTTAAGAGGTGAGAGCAGACACTGAAAGCGTCTTCCACCAGTCACATAATTACACAGTGAGGAATCAAGGGTTCCAACCCAAATCCCATAGACTCCAGAGCCTGTGTTTTCAAACACCACACTACATAGGATACACAGAGAAGATACACAGCACAAAAGCCTTCTCAAGGCCTCAATGTTAAATTTCCACAGGTAGAATTCAACTGCAGCCTCTCAAACCCAGACCTGGAACACATGTGTAGATTTGAAGACGCCCTAATCCAAGGATGATGGCTGCTTTCTGACACGGAGACAGCTCTTACTACAGTCACCACACATTATCTGATGATCCCTTCAAAGGGACCATGCCCAGGTTAGCACAATTTTTTTCACATTTATTACTTATCTGGGGAAATCATAGGACAATTTAAGGAGTTGGTTCTCTCCTTCTACCAGGTTGATCCCAAGAACCAAACTCAAGTCATCAGCCTTGGCAGCAAGCACCCTTACCCAATAAGCCACCCTGCTAGTCCAGTTTCTCAACAGCAGACAAAAAGTAAACTGCTCTCCAAAGACCTCCAGTTACAATTTTTAAAAATTTAATAAAAGCACTTTATTGTAACAAACTCACAAATAAAACCCATCACACAGCTAGATTAAGGTAGCCACTCAAACAAACACTTGCCCATCCCCAAATGCTATAAATCTCAATGAACCTTTTTTTTTTTCCGGCGCTGAGGACCGAACCCAGGGCCTTGTGCTTGCTAGGCAAGCACTCTACCACTGAGCTAAATCCCCAACCCTCAGTGAACTTTTATATAGCTAGAATGGCCATTCTGAAGTTGGAGTTTCACTCAGGGTTTAACACTTTCATTATCAATTACAATTGCATGCACTTATCTGCCACCAAAAAAAGGAAGAAAAAGAAAAAACTATGCCAGTGTTCGAACTAGAAAAACAATTAGTTTATATTCTCTTTCATGATTCATATGTCCATCAACAGATGTATGGAAACTGAAAATGTGTTATATATAGAAAATGGAGTATTATTCAGGAAATCAGAGGCTGCGTATGGAGGCATACCATCACTCAGGAGGCAGAGGCAAAGGCAGAAAAACCTCTATGAGTTTGAGGACAGCCTGGTCTAGAAAGCAAGTTTCAGGACACCCAGAGCTACAGGGCTATATAAGAGACCCTGTGTCAATTAAAAAAGGGGGGGGGGGGAGGCTAGAGAGATGACTCAGTAGTTAGGAACACTGGTTGCTCTTCTAGAGGACCCAGGTTTGATTCCCAGTACCTACAAGATGGTTCACAATCATCTGTAACTCCAATCTCAGAAGATCCACCTTCTTCTGGCATCCTCAGGCACCAAGCACATACATGGTGCATAGACATACACGCAGGCAAAACACCCTACACATTAAATCAATAAAATCTTTTCAAAAAGAAAAAGAAAAATGGCCAGGCAGTGGTGGCGTACACCTTAATCCCAGCACTCAGGAGGCAGAGCCAGGCAGATCTCTATGAGTTCAAGGCCAGCCTGGGCTTCAGTACAGCCAGGACAGGCACCAAAACTACACAGAGAAACCCTGTCTTGAAAAAAAAAAAGAAAGGAAGGAAGGAAGGAAGGAAGGAAGGAAGGAAGGAAGGAAGGAAGGAAGGAAGAGAAAGAAAGAAAGAAAGAAAGAAAGAAAGAAAGAAAGAAAGAAAGAAAGAAAGAAAGAAAGAGAAAAATGAAATCACAAAATCTACAGGAAAATGGATGGACGTAGAAAGTATATTAAGCAAGGTAGCCCAAAGCCAGAAAGATAAAACCCCACATTCTCCTTCCTACATGGCTCCTAGCCTATAATGTCTGTACATCTATGTGGAAACAGCTGTAAGTGTGAGTACTGTCACCACTTAGAAAGAAGATCAAGGGAGAGTAGTATTAAGTAACATGAAGGAAAGAATGCAAGCAAAAGGTCACGAGTCTAGTGACGACTTTAGTACCAACGTGGAAGCCACTTGTTCTCACAGAAAAGTCCAGTAATCAGAATCCAGAACCAAAGCCAGAATCCTTTGGCTTCATTTATAATTATGAGTTCTGTAGAATGGTCGTGTACAACATGACAGATACTTAAATTATACAATTTTATTCTGACCTGCATTTTGGGGTCTTTCATAGAAACCTTCAAGCCTTGACTCCAGTGGCCCAGTGACTCCTAAAAAAATAGACAATGTAAATATAAATGCCAGTAATTAAATGTAGCTAATACTGCATGACAGCAAAGTCCAAATCAAACATGGACGTCATGTTAGTTTTTGAGAATTCAACTTCCTTTACTTCGGTCTATCGCCCTCTAGGACCACAAGCCTCCCTGCTTCTTCCGATACTCAGAACTGGGTGTAGGACGGAGGCTACTGTGGAACTCCGTCTTCTGTGCAGACTGCCGTCCAGAGTAAGAGCAGTTGGGATTACCTGAAGAAGACTTTCACAAGACTGGGGCAAATAACATTCCCTTGTTGGGGGATGGGGAGGACTCATGAGGCTCCTCCCCTCCCAGAGGATACACAAGCAGCTAGGATGGGGTAGTCACCCATAAGCTGCCCATGCTCCTGTAAGTAACCACAATTAAACTCACTGGTTCACCAAGTTAGACTTGGGTGGAATGGTTGGCCTGTCATTAGTGCCATATCTGGGGTGACCAGACATCTGTTCACATCTCCCCAGGAAAAGCTCCATAAAGCCAAAGCTGCCAGAGTACAATCAGCCTTCTTTGCCCTCTCACACTCCAGCTGCAGCCTAGGCAAGCTCTATTTTGACATCAGCATGTGAATTACATATCTGTTAAGGTGGACAAGCAAACGACCATTCTAGTGTTCAACGTTAATGACACCATTATGGGGAGTGGAGGAGGCCCTGAAGGAGCGGGTGCTGTTGACATGACCAGCCATGTCAAGGGCCTCAGTGCCTACACCCATGGAAATGGCAAAGCCTTCCCAGAGGGAGGCCCAGAGGGAGAGCAAAGCCTTCCTCTGGTCCAAGCACCAGTGTTTACAAATGGCTGACCAGTGTGCAGAAACTATCAACCACAGCTTCCTCCTCCCAGATGTGTACAGCCTGAGACGACTCCCTTCTAGAGACCTCCTGCTTCCTTGTTCAACTATATACAATAAACCACCTCCTCGATTCAGATGTACAAAAGAATCATGCTGAGTTTCTGGGCTGCTGTTGATGATACATCTCTACTAAAGAGACCAGCCCACCCAACCCCAGATTTTCTGTTTGTGTGTCTGTGTGTCTGGCCTTTCTTCATCCCCTTGTTGCCCCAGTTAGGCCAATCCCTAAGCCATGCATGCAGAGCATGACACACTGCCATTACTGACTGCCCTGTCGTCCTTCAAATGGGTTACCCCGGGAATTTAATGGAAAAGCATATAAAGGCACATTCACCAAGTGATTTTCAGGCCACAAACAAGTTACTCTTTCATCATGGTTAACAACCCTCATTATGACTAATACCACTCACCTGTGTCCGAGCTTTATAGTGTACAAAACAATTAAGCAGTCATTACATCTCATTTCATCTCCACATCATCTATCAATCATACTATTCTCACCTCTTTGGTGACTCCATCCTTGCCCTTCTTAGAAGGCACAGAGCACTGGCTGGGGCTGCTCCCAGGTGCCAGCCCTGTCCCAGACTCCGCTTCCTGAGCAGCATCCACCTCCTCACCATCACAGTCTGACCTCTTTCTCTTCCTTTGTGTTTCTAGGTCCGGACTCTTTGCTACTTCCTCAAACTCTACAATATATGGATAGAGTTCATTCACCATGTGGAGAACCTGGCCAGGCTGCAGCTTCATCTCCTGGTCCTTCCCAATGATGACGGAGTCAATGCTGGTGGGATTGACCCCCACCTGTGGATACACAATCATAATGTAAGCATAATAACAACAACGTCATCAGTAATAGACTGCTGCTGTATTAACCACTTACTGTACAGTCACCCTGCCTATAGTTCACTGCATCACTTCCACCCTTGACAGAGGAGCTTGCATTAGCTGGCAGAGTCTAAAGCAACAGCATAAGGAAACTATCAAGTAATAAATGGAAACCCAAGTCACAAACACACATACCTGCTTCACTTTGACATAGCCCTTGTTACACTCTGCTTTCAACTGTACTGAAAGACATAAGAAAACATTAAACACAGATGCAACCAACACCAGGTACTGTTTTCCCTAAAGGACAACAAAGCCTGACTGCTGCAGACAGCCCACAGATGAGCCTGATCTGCGTGTGCCTGGGCCTACAAATCCCAGTTTCTAACAGTTTTAGCCCTTCCATAAAATGTCCATCAATGAGCTGGGCATGATGGCACATGCCTGTAATCCCAGGCTTGAGAAGTAGAGTCAAGATCAGGAGTTCAACGCCAGCCTTGGCTGCATAGCCAGTGTGTGAGGTCAGTCTGGAATATGTAAGAACATCTTAAACCCCATTTCTCACCCCCCAAAATAATTTATATCAGTGCACGTACTCCCTTAACTACTGCTGAAAACCTGAGGTGGGGGTGGGGTTGGAGAGATGGCTCACTGGCTAAGAATACTTGCTTGCTGTTGCCAGAGGACCTGAGTTTAGTTCCCAGCACCCACACTGGACAGCTCATTCCTATCTTTGGCCCCAGTTCCAGGGAAATCTGATGCTTTTGGCCTCCACAGCCAACTGTACTTAAATACACCCACTCAGAGACACACATATAATTTTTAAAAATAATAAAAATAAATCTTAACAGCAAACAAATGCTCAATATCTTTCCCATTTTGAAGCTGGTTGTGGTGGTGCATACCTTTAATCCCAGCACTTAAGAGGCAGAGGCAGGTAGATCTCTGTGAGTTCAAGGCCAGCCTGGTCCATATAGTGAGTCCCAAGACAGTTAGGGTTACATAGTGAGACCCTGTCTCACAAAAATAAAAATAAGAACTTTGAGGCAGCTTCCATGAGTCTCTGCAGCCTCCTGGGACAGAAGCCCTGGCCAGCAGGGATCACAGACTCTGCCGACAGGAAGACAACTCCCAGCTCACGGTTAGAGAAGACTTCTACTGTTAGAAAGAAGAAAAAAAATTGTCTAGAGTTGGAGCTGAGCCGGGCGGTGGTGGCGCACGCCTTTAATCCCAGCACTCAGGAGGCAGAGCCAGGCGGATCTCTGAGTTCGAGGCCAGTCAGGTCTACAGATCGAGATCCAAGACAGGCACCCAAAACTATATGGAGAAACCCTGTCTCGGGGGAAAAAAAAAAAGAGTTGGAGCTAAGGGGTAGAAGGCTTGCCTAACATGAGCCTCAGGGGTAGGGAATATTACTATCAAGTGCCTAACAGAGAAAGAGGTAAAAGATATGTTCTTGTAAAACAGAAGTTCAAGCTGGCCTGAAGGAATAGAAAGAATGTTCTAGAAAGAGCACTGCAGGACTGGACAGTATGAGTATGTTGGAGAAGGGTAACTTCAAGCACTCATATTCAGATAAGTCAAAAAGCATGTGGGGTTGAGACGGGGAACAAGAAGAGACACTACAGCTGGGGGGGGGGGGGGCTGGTGAACCCCCCCACCCCTACACTTGCTGCTGTGAGAAGCAGGCAGATGGAAGCAGCAGCAGTTTGACCCCCTCGGCTCAACACTCCAGCACACTTGACTAACCCATACAGGAACGTCCGTACTCACTGCTGCAGCAGTGACCCCAGCTCTGAACCAGAACCTTAGGGGTATGGGGACAAACTGCAGGCAAGGGTGAGCATGCCCACCGTGTGCAGGAAAATGTATTTGTGTGTGTGTGTGTGTGTGTACACTCGGCTTTTCCCTTAAAACATATGATAGACAAGCTGTTTGCCACAGTCGTACAAAGATCTACCCTCTGTGTAAGGCAGTGTGTAAAGGCTGCCACCATCCCCATTGCCAGACATGGTTTCAGCTTGGAGATGCCAGAATTTATTTGTCTTGCTGCTCAATGCATAACCCCTGGGCAAAGCAGGGTCCAAGACTCAATCCTGCCACTCCAAGGGAACAGGATGGCAGCCACCTGTTCCCATCCCTTACCTGAACCTGCCTTAAGTGTTACTACATGGTGAAGGCAGAATCCAGGATGAACCAGCCCTTGTGTTAGCTAAAAGAACACAATTTATGAGCCTTGTTTGAGAATATAATAGGTTTTCCAGCAAAAACACCCAGAAATGTGCATCACTGGTTATCACCACCCTCTATAACTCAACAGTCACCCTAACATTCCTATGACCAGTTAGTCACCTTGCTGTCGAGAACATTTCTTATCTGTGATCTTGGTCTCTGGGCTTCGACCAATCACAACTGTTTCCGAATGGGGAAGTTTGATTCGCTGGTGCCGGCTGTCCTGTCTCACCAACCAGCACACCCGCATCATCGCTCTAAAAGCAAAAGAGGATCACTGGAGAGCAAATCACCCAGGCCACCCCCAGCCTCACCACACACCGACTGTGAGGACGTTCACAGAGGCAGGTGACTTCACCTCCTAGTCTCAACTTCCTCCCCTATAAAGCTGTGATAATGACAGGACTCAGGAGGCTGCTGGGGATTAACGAGATAATACAGGTAAATATTTTCCTTTGCCAAGCATGCTAAGCATTCAAATATTTGTTACACATTCCTGAATATCCTGTGCTGGGCATTAGGCTATATGCAGAGGGTCCCTCAGAAGTGAGTAAAAGACTGTTCCTGTAATTTGAGGCGCTTGGAATAGGGTATATCGTGGGAGCCCACAGAAGTTTCCTTGTGAGATCTGAGTTTGCCTGACACAGCAGAGCTGCATAAGGGGATGATCTGACCATGGGCAAGGTTACCAGGTGGTTGGAAGGGTCTGCACTTGGCTGTGCCTTGGGGGGAGATCTTTTGTTTCTCCCCTTGGCATTCCTTTACAAATTCTTTGGCAGAGACAGTCAGGGCCCGAGGCTATTCTATGTTTCTGTCTGTCTCTCTCTAGCTTTATTTCTCTCTAATATTTCCTGTTGCTCCTGCTCAAGAGTACCCTGGGGGGGAGTGGGAATAGGCTGGCCCTCCACAGTATATGAGCAGACAATTCATACACCAGTTACTGTGATATGATCCAAGTACTGTAAGACATTAGCCCAGTGGTAGGACTGACCCTTGAGAGTATTAAAAAAGATTTCATGAAGAAGGACTATGCAGACAAGGTTTGGGGTTGGGAAGGAGTGTGCCTGTCAGAGAACCAAGAATTAAGATGTGGATCAAGAGACATGACTGAGCAGTGTGTTCATTTGCACCTATATAGTGGCTCACAATAGCTCTAGTTCCCGGGGATTTTCCACGTCATTTTCTGGCTTCTGCAGGTATTGAATGCACGTGGTTCACATACTACCAAGCACACACATACACAGACACATTCTCTCTCAAAATAAGGGCTAGGAATGTAGTTCAGTGGGACAATACTTACCTAACATGTGCAAAGCCCTGGCTTCAATGTCCCTCCCCTCCAAACAAAAAGGAGAGAGAGAGAGAGAGAGAGAGAGAGAGAGAGAGACTTAATACATATAAAGACACCAAAGATCTGAAGAACATTTTTTCCTTTTAGATTTATGTGTGTGAGTGTTTTACTCTTATGTAAGTAAGTGCTCCATATGTGTGCAGTTCCCACGGAGGTCAGAAGAGGGCACCCTCTAGCACTGCTTTTTCTTTTTCGTCGGGGTCTCACTTCAGCACTGGCTAGCCAGGAACTTATACTGTGGAGACAATGCTGGCCTCTGTCTCCCACACATCAAGTTTCAAGCCAGCCAAGACTGCATAGTGAGATCCTGTCTCAGGAACAAGAGGAGGAGGAAGGCAAATCTAGAAGATACACTTATCTTCTGGTGTCCCTTGGAAATAACAAAGGAGCATCAAACAAAAGACTTCTAATCTAGCCAGACATGGTACAGGACTTCAACCCTAGCACTAAGGAGGCAGAGGCAGGCAGATCTCTGTGAGGTCTAGGCCAACCCTGTGTACATACTGAGTTCCAGAACAGCCAAGGCTACAGGAGACTCTGTCTCAAAAAAAAAAGGGGGGGGGGGGTCCTAATTTGGAAGATGCCATTAGACAAAACGAAGACTTTATAAGAAGACACTATTTAGAAATGGAGGTGAAAACTGGAGAGATGCTCAAAGGTTAACAGCACAGACTGCTCTTGGACAGACACCAAGTTTGGATCTTGGCCCCCACGTCAGGCAGCTTGCGACTACCTGTAATCCTGGCTCCAGGGGACCTGATACTTGTGGCCTCTGTGGGCACCTGGACTCCCGTGCACCACCCATCCCCCACCACTCACACACATAATTAAAAACAATAAAAATAAACCTTTTTCCTTTTGAAAAGAAATGAAGAAGGAGCAAATTCATATTGGTTCCCTTGGCTATTGTTTTGTTGGGGAGTAGTGAGTTTTGTTTTTGTTTTTGTTTGTATGTTTGTTTGTTGCGGGGGGAGCTGTCTTTTGTATGTGTGTGTGAGAGAGAGGTGGAATGTGTATTTTGGGGATCAAACCCAGGGCCCTGCCCTTGCTAAACCCAGGCAGTCTACCACTGAGCTAAATCCCCTGCCCTGAATTACATCAGAACACAATTACTTGACATGGCTTGTGGGAGACCCGAGAGTTAAGCTGAGACACACAAACAGGAAGCTCAGGAGAATGGATGAACTGAATGCATCTGACAAGCATCAGCGTGTCACAGAAGCTGAAGCAAAGAAAAAGAACAAGGTGACCCAGGAAGGCAGAAGAGAGAATCAGATCAAGGCTAGGACTAGGTCTTCAGGGTGTCTCTCTAGCCTCTAGAGCAGTGGTTCTCAAGCTAATGCTGCTGTGACCCTTTAATACAGTTAGTTCCTCATGCTCTGTTGAGCCCCAACCACACTTCTTTGTTGCTACTTCCTAACTGTAATTTTGCCACGGTTGTGAATCATAATGTGAATAACTGATACGCAGGATATCGGATAGGTGACCCCTGTGAAAAGGTCCTTCAACCCCCAAATGGGTCGTGATCCACAGGTTGAGAACTGTTGTTCCAGAACCTTATCAATGCCCAAGCTTCTAACACCTCAGGGAAATCTTGCCTCCTCCCCAAGCAGCTCCAATGCCTTGTGTTTTGCCCAAGTGCTGTATTCGGGAACAAAGAACAAAGAAATGATATTCTCGAAAAAGAGAATATGGTTACCATCTGCAAGGACAGGACAATGCAAGGCCCAGGAATCGATTAGTGTGAGCACACACAGGCCAAGGAGATTCAACATCCTCTGTTAGTCAGGAAAGGTTCCGAAACCACCCAGTCAGAGCAGGCCAGCAGCCAAGGGGACCTTCAGGAAGGAAGGACTGGGAGAGGCATCTGGCTTTAAACAGCACAAGTGACAGCACAGATTTCCACAGGGGAGAAGGCAGATGGGCCGCACCAGGGATGCTGCCTCAAGAGGCACCCAAAAAAGACGGCAAAAATTAGTGACGAAGACCAAGATGAGAAGCTAAGCTTGCACATCACCCGCAACAGACAACTGCCAAGTTTCACACAGCAGAGTAAGACGAAACAACAGAAGCCAAGAACACCTGGCCGACAGCTACGGGTAGGCCGGAGAGTGCAGAGAGCTAGGGTCAGGGACTAGTCCAGAAGCCGCTATTGTAACGGGGCCAGACAGTCCAAAGGACAATTCAACAGGGCTCTGAGAGGAGTCGATATGAGTATAAAGTCAGCTGTTCATCTAAGATCCTAAACCTGGGCCTGGTTGTGTGGTACTACAGGCAGGTCCCATTTACAATGCTATGTTCCATGGGGCATCTGTTTGCACCTGCTACAAATTGATGGATGGGCAGGTAATGGCCAGAGAAGTGAAGCAGGTCCTCATTGGGCATTGAGAAACAAGTCACGTGATTGACTACTCCCTCCGACAAAGAAGCCAGCAGACAGTGCAGCTTCTGAGTAGGAACAGAGAGGATCCAATAGACAGCTAGGAACATGACAAGACAATAGCCCTCCCTTCTGCCACAAACACATACACATTTTCTTCCCTGATGCCCTTAAGTGGTGATGTTCCGACGCACTACTCCCTAGGAAGCTGATGACCGCACAATGCTCACAAACAAACCTTAAACAGTAGGCTGGCCCATTGGGGCTCCAGACCCGACCTGTAGGAATTCATGACTAGAATACAGGGAACACAGGATGTGTGCTCCTGATCCTAAGCAAACCCTCCAGGAAAATTCCATGAACTGCGAGCATCATGCCCACTTTAGCACTGTATCCCCAGCATTTACTGCTTGGCCTACAATAAGCCTACAATAAACCAGCAAGCTTACAATAAATGTTTGCAGATAACTAATCAGATGATAACATAACCCTCCCAAAGTTTTCAAGGTTTTCCACCTTTACTTCCCAGAGTTCCTCTCAGGCTCCCTTAAGACAGGGTCTCACTATGTAGCTCTGGGGGGCCTAGAACTTGCTATATAGGCCAGAATGGTTTTAAACTCACAGAGATCCACCTGGCTCTGCCTCCCAGTGCTGGGATTAAAGGCGTGTGCCACCACACCCGGTTGGGTTCCTCTTCTTAAAGTAGAATGCCCCAAAAGAGGAGCAATTCACTCTACCACTCCCTCCCACTTCTGCAAGGGTCTATTTGCTAACTACACCACTGTATACCACTCTCTGACTAATTCTGACTCTTGGGGAACACAAATGACCAGAAGATGACATGAGGCCAGTAATCCATCTGGAAGCACTGCTAGCACAAGACTTTTCTGCAACAAACCTTCATCATAAATAAATCAGCCTCACTGACAAGTGAACTTAGCCCAACTAAGGAACTGGAGTTTTTACTTTAGACTTTGTTCCCAACTAACACAGATGTGGTGATACAGTGTGTACCCTAATAAACCTGCCTGAGGATCAGAGGACAGAGCCAGCTACTAGATTAGAAAGAGCCAGGCCGTGGTGGCACACACAACTCTAATCCCAGCACTTGAGATCTCATGCCTTTGCTTGAGAAGCACACACACCTTTAATCCCAGAAAGTAGTATGGCAGGGCAGAGAAAGGTATATAAGGCGTGAGGAAACAGGAACTCACTCTCTTTAGGCTGAGGATTTTGTAGAGGTAAGAACTAGTGGCTGGCTCTGATCTTTCAGCTTTCACCCTGATATCTGGCTTTGAGTGTTTTATTAATCTAAGATTCAAACAACACATAACCACAAGTGGTTGTGGACCACTAATGTCCAACACAGACTTGAATTTAAGACTCTAGGCTTCTAATTCCTCAAAGGTTACTTATTTCACAGAACCGGCCCCACTGGCCATTCTCACTCTTCCCTCCCTGCAGTCCACCCTCACTCCACACACATACAGAGAGACACACACAGACACACACACACACCCTTCAGGAATGGCGTGTTGCAGCACTGTTCCTGAGTAAGTTATTCTAAACATGGTATTCTGATGTTACCTTATCCTCCTTTCCTTCCTAAAAACCCAAATCTTTGTCAGATTTTAGGTCCCACCTCCTCCCTGAGGCCGACTGAGTCTTCATCTTTCTTGTACAACTTTCACAGTTCTGAGAGCCCTGGGAACAGACTCCCCACCGCCTTCCCTTCAAGAAACACGCAAGAAAGGTCCCTGGAGACCACTGCTGTAGGCGCCTGGTCTCCAGTAGTCCCAGGATCCCCAGTGTTCAGCATAATTTACTAAGAGCACACTGCATGGTAGGCCCTGTGCTGGCCCGTCTATGTTGTCTCAATATCACTCTATGGAAAATTAAAGCTTAGACAAGCAAGAGCCATGCCAGGCAACAAAGACTGTGTGCCAGAGTTCGGATCTGAACTCTTTCCAAATAGGTTCTTAACCACTACATGATATTGTTTGGGGGCTCACTCATTCAATCAATCAAGATTGTTTCATGCCTACTCTGCGTTTCATGCTATTCTAGCACTGAATCAAAACATATGCCTGCCTTCAAACGCCTCCGATCTCAGAGAAGACCCAGAGATAATTATAATTGGTATGGAATGATTTGTTTGTAGAAAAGTACTATGGAAACACAAGCCTTTAGGACCATGTGAAAGAGGGTTTCCTGGAGACGGGTGTAAGCAGAGCCTTGTAAACTTGGTTAATTTGGTAGAAAGAGGCAGTCTAATTGAGCACTAAGAACCAGAAAATGGAATTAAGAAGACATTTCTAGGCAGAGAACGAGGGCAAATGCACACACAGACACAGCACACTGTGCACGGAGAAGCTAACACTGAAGGCACAGGAGGAACTGGAGACCCAGCAAAGTCCAGATAATGCGAAGCCCCGGGTGACTGGCTGACAAGTTGGAAATTTGCAAGTTTCACTAGACTGTGTAACTCAGTAGACAGTGATGTTGGTTGAAAGAATGGGGTAAAGAACAAATACATGAGCAGACAAATCAACAAGGACCAAGCAGGAATTGAACGAAGGTTTCCTTACAAAGATCATCTTGGGAAGAAGTATAAAAAAAATATGCATTGCTTCCCCCCCATGAAAAATTCTGTATAAAGGTTTCTATGATGGACTGTAATCTCAGTACTCAGGAGACACAAGCAGGCTAGCCAGAAGTTTGAGGCCAGACTAATCTACCTACTGTGACCCATCTTGAAAAAGAAAAGTTGCCCAGGCCCAGTGGCATACGCCTGTATCCCATCACTGGGAAGGGAAGTGGAGACAGGAGGATCAGCAATTCGAGGCCAGCTGAGCTACGTGAGACCTGGTCTCAAACCAAGGAGGGTGGCAGGGGCTCTAAGAAATCCCCAATATATGTCAAAATTCTCAAAAGTAATTCCCCACCAATTCCAAACGGATGGGATTTCAAACACCCCTGCTTTGCTGAACCAGTCTCCGCACTGAGAAAGGCCTTGCTGCCGCCGGCACTCCTAAGGCCTGCTGAGGACACTGATGATACAGCACCTCAAGTTACCCTAGGAGGGCGTTCTTGGCAGAAACACTTTCCCGACAAGCTGAACAGCCCCGTTGGCACGACAGTGTCCACTGTTATCTATAAATCTTTTCATGCTGATTTTGCGGCCAACTAGATACAGGAGTCGGGTGGGGGTGGGGGAAAGGGGGAAGGGCGCAAGGGAGCAACGGGGCGGAGACGAACACTCTTTCTCCCGAAACCCGCCCACCGGAGCAGGACGAAAGGGTGGAGCCTGGTCCGCCCAGAAGGAAGTCTCGAACTCGACACTCAGGGCCACCGCTTCGGGTTGGCAGCCGGGGCCGAACGCCCGCGGCCTCTTCTAACCCAACCAGCAGAGGAGGCAGGCCGACCACCAGCTTACCTCGACGGCAGACACTCACAAACCCGCTCGCGACTCCACTGCGCCTCGCCACTTCCGGTGCTGAAAGATGACGTCATAAAGCGGCTGCCTAGCAACCGGTGACGATTCCACTATCTCTCGGCGAATTGGCTGAAACTATCTCTCGCCTAGGTGGAAAAGGGGTGACTCCAAGTGGTTCCTACCGGCTTGTTGTCCCCCTGAGGACACAGCTCCTTTGCCTTCTCTGAGGCATCTGGCTGTCACTGCCTTCCAGTCTCTGAATCCGGAGAGATTTCAGGCAGCGATCTTCTGTGGCTTGCATACGCAGCCATGTCGTCTCTTGGCACTTCCTCCTCAGGAGGCTTGCTACATTTTAAGGCCATCTTTGAAAGGGAAGGAATGAATGAGGTTGGAGGTAGCGAGACAAAGCTCGTTCTGTAGCCCAAGCTGGCCTTGAACCAGCGAAAATCCTCCAGCCTTAGCCTCCCCGGTGCTGGGATTGCAGGTGTGAGCCACCAAACCCAGCTTTGGGGCCATCGTTTAAGCTGCAGGCTAGACTGCCTTACCACCCACGTTCAAAGCACCCTTTTCTTTCTCCCTTTAAGGAGAAGACTGAAGAGAGAGACAGAGGGAAGCCTGCTAAGTTTTTTTGTTGTTTTAATGATGTCTTCGCTAAACGAACTGAGGGCAATCAGAAAGGCAGGAGGTTGGGATGACATATTGGTACGGATTTTTATAGTAATTCCAGGACGTTCCCTAAAAGTCTTGTGTTGTAAATCACCAAAGACTTCTTGGCAGTTGAAAGAATTCCTATCTTGTGAGTAAAACCAGAATGTAGAATCTGAAACTCAATAGAAACTGAACCTTAAGGAGTCCCTTTTCTCTCTCTCTCTCTCTCTCTCTCTCTCTCTCTCTCTCTCTCTCTCTCTCTCTCTCTCTCGTTTGGTTGTTTAAACAATGTCTTACTGTACCCTAGGCTGGCCTCAAACTCAAGATCCTCTTGCCTCTACCTCTGAAATGCTGGGGTCATGGGCCTTCACCACGAAGCTCAGCTAGGAACTCTCTTGTTTCTTGATCAAAACTGGTTACTATTGTTTGCTTCTGTGGAAAGGCAGACTCCACTGTCTGATGGAGCTGACAAGACAGGATGGGAGGATGTTCCAGGGAACAAGGGAGAGAGATGCTTTTGTCAGCCGAGAAGATATGGGTATATATTAAGATCAGAGCAGGAAGGGAGGAAGGACCTCGAGTTGTGTAAGTCTCAAGGCTGAGAATGTGGTTCACATCTGCTTACGATACCGAGGCACCTCTGGTGGCCTGACAGTTGAGTTCTCCCTCAGGATTAAGCCTCTTAGCCAAGGCTTCTTTCTACCCAGCCTGACTTGTGTCTCTTACAGCTCCAAGATGAACTAAGCCATTGTGGACAGCTCAGTGACCAGAAAAATAAGGTTGTTGGGAACAATGCATGGCTAAGGGCATGGTGGGCACTTAAGACATTCACCGGTTTCACATTGTTAGGGGACGAAACACCATAAATTTTTCCACTTCTCAAAGAATCAAACACCTACTTGTTTCACCCCCTAAAGCCCCACCATTCTGCTCTTAGATTCCGTGTGTTTGACAATTCTGGAAATATCGTGTAAGTGAAATCATATCGCGTTTGTCTTTTGCAGCTGATTTGTTTCATTTAGCTTGGTGTCAAGTTTCATCTACAATGTGGCACATGTCAAGACTTATTTTTGAAAGCTAAAGTTTTCTTTGAACTTTTGTTTGAGTATTCTTTCTTTTATAATTTATTTTACGGGTGTTTTGTGTGCATCTCTGTCTATATACCATGTGTGTGCCTGGTGCCTGAGGAGGCCAGCAGAAGGAAGATTGCTGGGACTGGGGCTACAGGAGCTTGTGAGCTACGGGATGTGTGTTGGGACAGAACCAGGATCTTCTGGGGGACTAACCAGTGTTCCTAACTGCTACGCCATCTCACCAGACCCCATATTATTCTTGCTTGCTTGCCCTCCCCCCCACCCCGTTTTTTTTAAAAGACAGAGTCAGCCTGGCCTTAAAAGATGACCTTGAATTCCTGATCCTCCTGCTTCAGTTTCCTTTTGGTTTTGTCTTGTTTTGGAAACAAGGTCTCACTATGTAGCTCTGGCTGTCCTGAAACTCTTTTTGTTTGTTTGTTTCTTTGTTTTTGGTTTTTGGTTTTTTTGTTTGTTTGTTTGTTTCTTTGTTTTTGGTTTTTGGTTTTTTGTTTGTTTGTTTGTTTGTTTGTTTTTTGAGACAGGGTTTCTTTGTGTAGCTTTGGGAACCTATCCTGGAACTTGCTCTGTAGACCAGGCTGGTCTCAAACTCACAAAGATCCTCCTGCCTCTGCCTCCCGAGTGCTGGGATTAAAGTGCATGACAATGCCCAGCATCCACCTTAATTTTTAAGAAGGGTCTCTCGCTGAACCTGGAGCTCACTGGTTAGGTTAAAGTAGCCCGTAAGCTACAGGATCCTCTTGTCGGCCTCCTCAGCACTGGCATTATAGGCACAGGCTACTACACTGGCCTCTTTTACTTGGGCACTGGAGATCTAAACCTAGGTCCTGTTGCCTCTGGGACAAGCATTTTGCCAACTGAGCCATCTCCCCAGCCCTGGTCATTTTATTTTTAATACTTTGAAAACTTCCATAATGCTTTCCGTAGCAGCTGCCTGGTTTTACATTCCCATAACAGTGCCCAGACACAGTTCTCGGCGTGCTTGCCAAAGCTTGTCATTTGTAGCTGTTTTTGTTGTTGAAAGCATCCACCCTCACCCACCGCTGGGTAATGTCTCAGTGTGGTTTTGATTTACAGTTCCCTGGTGGTTAGTGATATTGCTCTTTGTAGACGATTATTTTCCACTTGTGTGTACCTTCTTTGGAGAGATTTCCAAATCTTTTGGCCATCTTAAAATCAAGTTATTAGTGTTTGTGTCATATTGTAGGAGTTTTGGGGGATGGATGACAGAGCTCAGAGGCAGAGCACTTAAGAATATATGAGGTCCTAGGTTCAAGCCACAGCACCACACAGAAAAATTGTGGGATTTTTTACGCACTCTAGATATGGCCCTCTGATTAAATAGACCAGTGTTTCTTCCCGTTGTTCAGGTCTCCTTCTCAGTCTGATAGCTGTAACCATAGATGCACAGGAGCTTTTTATTTTGTGTCTAACTTACTTGCCTGTAATCTTGCCTCTGCTTTTGGTGTCAAGTCTAAGAAGTCATTACCAAATGTGCCATGAAGCTCTGTGTTACCTTCTAAGGACTCGGGAGTTTTAGGTCTTCGGTTCATTCGTGCTTGTTTTTAGACTGTATAACGCAGAAGTCCCGCTGCATCTTTGCCTCTGATTATCTATTTTCCCAACACCATTCCCTGAAAAGACTGTTCTTTCCTCATTGGTATGTATCCTTGTTGAAAATGTACTTGATCATGAATGTAAGGACTTATTTCTGGGGTTTCTGGTCTGTCTCCTTTATGTAGGTGTGTCTATGTGCTTGCTCCAGAATCACATTGTTTTAATTACCACAGCTTTGTGATAATGTTTGAAATCAAGAAGTGTGAGAATTGCCAGCTTTGTTCTTGTTCAAATTCCTTTGTCTGTTCTACTCTGGATTTGTTTGACTGTTTTAGTCAAACAATCTGAAATGAAAATCAGTTTTGTGATCTTTTGGAAACAAAGCAATAAATGTAGCAAATTCTGATGAACAGCTAGAATAATTGACTTGCTCCCTGGGCTAGCACTGTCTGCATTCAGCTAGTTGACAAGCTGGCTGTTTCTGTGAGAGAAGAAAGATCATCTTTGAGACTTTGGAAGACTTCCAGGACTCCTGGTCTAAGAAAAAGGTGAATGTAGCCAGAGACTGTGGTCCACTGGTCTGCAGACTTGTTCCAAAGGAAAGCAGGGAGTTCTGAGGAAGTGTGCAGCTGGAGAACTGTACTTTGTTTTTGCATTTGTATTTGGGTATACTAAGATTCCCCAGAGAGACAGTAAAGAGGAAAGGGATTAGGGGGCAGTCCAGAAAGACCCGTCTCTTGCTGAGTGTAGTGGTAATGCCCGTTACCAGGACTCAGAGGTAGAAATGGGAGCATCATGAGGTCAAGGCCAGATATGGGCTCCATAGGTAAAGCCCAGCCTGAGCCACAAAGTGAAAATGGCTCAAACAAGAAGAGAGCAGAGTTTGGGGTGTAGCTCAGTGACAGAGTGCTGCCAAGTGTATGCTAGGCTCTAGGCCTGGGGACCCGCGCATAGGGAGGAGAGAAAGAGCACAATACCTACAAAGATCCCATAGCAAGGCTCTTAGCCACGACAGAGTGCAAGGGAGCTGGAAGTGCAGCGGAGTTGTTAGTGGAAAGCAATGGTCAGATCTCAGCAAGGATTAGACATCAGATAGTAGACGACTTAGGAACTGTATGTGGGCTCATCATTCAGTAAACACTATAAAACCAGAAGGGGCTAAGTAAAGTATTTGCCCTGCAAGTATGAAGAGCAGAGCCTGGATCCCAAGAGCACATGCAAAGAAAGCCTAGTGAGGCCGGGCAGTGGTGGCGCACGCCTTTGATCCCAGCACTCGGGAAGCAGAGCCAGGCGGATCTCTGTGAGTTCAAGGCCAGCCTGGGCTACCAAGTGAGTTCCAGGAAAGGCGCAAAGCCACACAGAGAAACCCTGTCTCGGAAAACCAAAAAAAAGGGTTGGGGATTTAGCTCAGTGGTAGAGGCCCAGCTTGCTTTTATTGCTGTAATAAACAATATGACCAAAAGCAACTTTGGGAGGAAATGGTTTATTTCAGCTTAAAGCTTTTGGTCCATCATGAAGGGAAGGCAGAGCAGAAACTCAAGGTAGGAATCTGGAGGCAAGAGTTGAAGCAAGACCATGGAGGAATGCCACTTCCTGGCTTGCTCAGCTGCCTTTCTTATCCAACCAGGACATCAAGTCATCAACGCGACGCAGTAGTGATGGCCCGAACCCTACTGAAACAAATTTAGATGCATGTTTCATACATCCAAAACAGCTCTGTGAGACACATGATGTTGCCTCCAAACATGGCTCCAGTAATGAAATGACATGAAGAAGCAGATGAACATCTCTTGCCTCAGGTGGAACAATGTTGAAGTCTCCCAGC